TAAATAAAAAAAAAAAAAAAAAAAAAAAGGTTCAACTGATCTCTGGTCCCGTCACCCCAATAGATAAACACAACTCGGTCTCTCTCTTATTTTTATGTTCAAAAGCGAGAGGCTGGTCTTAGAACCTGCTGTTTCCATGTCATTTTAAAAACATAGCATAATATAAGTTAATCAAAACTTTAGAATGAAATGCACATGATATCAGAGCTAGCCTTTTAACATAAGATAACATGATGAAAAGTTTGGTATATTCATACAACAGAAACACTGAGAAAGTAACTCCAATACCCTCAACTAAATCAATCATATTTCTACAATACATTGTTACCTTTCTCTATTTTCACTGAAGCACACATTCATCTCTCACACACGTGCCCCCATGTGTATTTTTGCATGTGTGTAAAAATACAGACATATACATGCACACAAGTAATTTAATTCTATTTTTAAGTCACAGTGGGAATTCCTTAGTGAGGAGGGATAAAAAGGTTCCTGAATAAGACACTGAGAACATCTAGATTTATTATTTTCTCTATTTTACTTCCCAACTTACAGAATCAACTGTAAATTAAAGAATAAATCCATAGGAAATAAAAGAGGTCTTAAAAAACTTAGTTTACAAAGTCCAGCTACAGTAGTTGGGAATTTTACTTGATCTATGTATTTCTATTTACCCTGTAACTAAGCTTCTACCCATCTTAAGTGTAAACCACAGATCATTTACTAAAGAAATGTAATTCTCAACAGTCCTATGAGCAGTAATAAATGGTCTAAAGGTGTTCTACATTTTGAGGCCCCAGGATATCCTTTTATTTTATATATCTGCAAGGTAGCAAAGGATAGCTATACACCTTGACACGGCAGAGATCCAGTGTAAAAAGGTGCTTCACTAGTTTGTTTTGTCAAACAAAAAAAAAAAAAGCTCATATATAATTTTTTTAGCTATTAAACACATAGGCAACATAACTCATTACACTCAATACAGCTTTAGTATAAAACTTATAATTTATGAGGTGATGTTAATAGCATAAATTAATATACCTTTTCTCTTAAAATCTACAATAAGTATTCTGAAAGCTCATCGGGGAAGGAGATTTTTAAATAAAAGTTTTAAAGCTGTGCATGACGGGAAAGGATTCTGTATGCTGAAGCTGAGATGAGAGGCTGAAGGAGAAAGGAAAAAAGTCCTATGCAAGACACTGTGGGCTATGAAACCAAATGTTTTCTCTTTCTTGCGCTCTCTTCAATGATGAGTCACCTTTAGTTTTTTGAAAACTATTTTTTTATTTTAAAATCTGCCCTAATTTCCGCAAGGAATCCCTGAGACATACTCAACACTATACAGTGAAAAGAACTATCACTGTTGAGAGGAACTGATTCAACCCTTCCAAGCAGATGAAGACAACGTCCATCACTTCCACACTGATCCGCTGGAGCCCACTGGACCTTAACGAGGTGGAGTCATTTCAGGGCCAATCACTCTATTCCCCAAGTAAAAGCAATGGTGTGGCATTTAGCTGCACTGGAGCCTTCCGCACTGCACGCTGAAAAATTTTCCAAGGGGAGCTTTGGGTGCATACAGAGCTTACTTCAGTGGTCCCCAGCTTTAAAAAATAAACAAAAACAAAACAGAACCAGAACAAGAAGAGGATTCTGTTAGGCCAGGATGAGAGAGAGAGAGAGAAAGAGAGAGAGAAAGAGAGAGAGAGAGAGAGAGAGAGAGAGAGAGAGAGTGTGTGTGTACAAACACACTTCAGGACTGGGGTGGGCTGAGCAAGCAGGCAGAAGGAGAAAAGGAAGGAAAGCTGTGCTGCCCTACAGAGCTTACTAAGAAAGAGTTAGACAGGTTTTCTCTTACAAGATTATTTAGCAGACTAAAGTTTAGATCACCAAAAACTCTGCCACTGAAAGGAACCAAACATTCCCAAGATCCAGGAACCAAGGGTAAAGAAAGTCATACCACATTTGCTCTCTGATGCCACAATTCCTTTGATTAGCTCTGTATCACAGTGCAGAGAGGAAAGCTAACAAACAGTAAGAGCTGGAGTGAAAAAAGGATTTTTGCTATTTGGAAGTAAGGCTCTCTAAATTTGACCCACAATTTTAGCATTAATGATACTGGTTATTCGGGGAGAAATAATTATTCATTTATGTTTTCTGTTCTTTCGTAATTCACTGGTCAGGGGGAAATGAATATGTTCTTCACTGATATTTTATTACAAATCTTTTGAATGATAGCACTTAAAATGTTAATCTACTAAACACAGATTTTGGCTCCCTCCAGAATATATTGGAACTTTTTATGAAGTTCAAGATATTAAGAAGTCGTTAAATTGTTTTACCTTTCCGTAAAATGCCAGGGAAGATTCAATTATTTTCAATGTATTGAGAGAAGGAAAAAAAATCTATATTCTATCATATATATTCCCATCCTATACCCCCCAAGAAATATATTTCTTGTCAGGAAAAAATCCTTGGCGCGATGTAGGTGTTGGTGATTAAAGATACAAATGAAGACTGTCTGGGAGGACTGCATTTTCTTTCCAGTTCTTTAAACTGCCTCAGTAAACTAGGAAGTTCTGTTGACCATTTAGAAGACCATTAAACATTATTCTATACATTCCAGGTTAAAAGTAGAATTTCATGGAATGTTGAAAGAAGGCTAAAAGGAAAGACGATGAAGAAAATGCAAACTAGACACTTAAAAAATCTTTAATGAATTTCAAACCTATTAAATAGTTAGTTTAGTGTTATCAACAGCCTCATCTTTGTACACCACCAACCCACACCGCCTTCTGAACTAGCCTGGAGAAAGGAGACTGCCTCGCACGGACCCTGCTGGTGCAGCCGGCCCGCCACCATCACCACCCCACGCAAGCGCTCGGGAGGGACTGCAGCCAAGTGTCGGCGACAGACAGCACGGGACTTCCCACATGAGCAAATTCTAGCGCCAGTGACCAAAACTGAATGGTACAGGTCAACAAAAACAAAAATTATTTCACATAGGAAAAGAACTGCACCGACAGGGTACCTGTGTGTGTCACAGACGTCGTTTCTTTCCAAATCAAAGAACTGTCTTTGCTTCTCTGGGTTGTGATCACGGATTGAGAACAATAAGGAAACACGTTAGTGTTAGTCACAGAGGAGGATTCCTAACTTGCAGTTGAAAGATTGGGCTTATTTAAGAAATAATTCTTATAAATAATTATTTGGCAAAGATAAAGGATTAGCTTTCTTTAGCCTGAAGCCACTCAAGACATAACTACAATTTTAAGGAAAAAAAAGTTCCAATTTTACTTCCATACCTACTACTTGCTTCTCATTAAATTGCAGTCTTTTCATGGAGGAGCACTAAACACGACACGCTGCCTGCCAGCGTGAAATTGCCCAGGACGTCATTTATAAAGCAGTCGGATCTCACACGGTAGGTTCCTAGAGAAAATAATCCTCCACTGTATAAGCCATGTGACGAGAATTAGGAAATTTCTTCATTGCATAGTCTGTCACTTGATGGGTCAAGTGTAATTGCTATTAACTATTGTAAATTGTTTATTAGCTACATAACTTACCCAGATGTGCAAATTGCCAAGCCATTTTTAACAGAGGAAAAAACAATGTCTTAAGTACTTTAATTAAAATAATATTCACAATTATGTAGAGAGAGTAAATGAGAGAAAACACATCACTTTCTTCGGATGCTATAGATCACAGCCAATGAATATACATTAGTATGGGATTCAGATTTTCAGAACACAGAACGTATCCATTAACTGCAGCATCTTTGTAAATAAAATCGCATTAACACAATCTAACTGGCCTTTATAAATGGTCCCAAAGAACTACAGAAACAGACTGAACCTTCTTTGCCACTACTTCTCATGAGTTTAACACTAGAATAAAAGCTAGCTTCCATCTAATTAGGACCGTATGTAAAATTTGTTTCTGATTCCAGTATTGCCGTATTATAGCATAAATGCTATATTACAAGACACTGATTTTCATATTTCTGGAGTAAAAGATACGTCATTCCTTTCTTTACATATTAATAGCAAACCTGCTACTAATAGACTAGAATTCTCCATTAGCTACAAGAAAAACGTAATGGATACCTCTGGGTTCACAGATGTTCTTCCATCTTCCAAAAGGGGACTCAAGAAATAGCAAGAGCAAAGCAAACTGCAAGCTCAGATATTTGTTTTGAAGTAGATGAAATAAGAGGAAAAATTTGTTTTGTTTAGCTTTTTGCTAATTCCTCACGCCTACACTGGGTACTTTCTACGGGTGCCCTTTCTTCAGCTATCATTGTGGGCATCTACACAAAAATGAATTTTCTCCAAGTTTTTGGTGTGAAGCTGTAACTGGCAACATTCCTGATCATTTCCTGCCTCCTTACTAGAAAGCAGAAAAGGGCTTTTAAATGCACATAAAACAGAAAATTGCAAACAATAAAATGTGCAACTTACTGCAAACTCAGTTTTGATAACTGAAGAATTTTAAGCAGCTACCACGAGGGATAAATGGCCAGAAACGTTCAAATCGACTGCCCGTGACTTCCCTCTGCTGTCAAAGGGCTGACAGGAACGTCGATGTGCTGCTCCATATGACCTTCAGTCAGTACACAGTGGAGACTAAACCAAATCCCTGGGAATGGGCAGTTATTGTAATGGGGTGTGAAAAGAGTTTAGGAAACTAAATGACACTTTTGAGCAGGTATAACTACTCATAATCATTTTGTTACAGTACATTAAAATAAAAAAGCTTACTAACATAGGTTCACAGGTGAGAAATATTCAAGTGATCTGTTCTCACCATTCAGAATAGAAATTTATGGTGATACCAAATATAATTTTGCTTTGTGACATAATTTATAATTTAGAAATTTCTCAATCTGCAAAAAAGGCAAAGCTATTAAAAATAAATCTCCCAATCAATTATCATGATTTAAAAAAAACAACTAAATATATTACAAACATATTTTTGGCCCAAAAAAAGAAACTTTCAATAAATACAAAATAGGGCATATAATGATTTCTTACTGTCATGTGACTTCCCCTCCGTAATCTCAGTCACATGGTATATGCATAATGCCTGCTGATCACCATTATTCCTTTAAAAAGCAGAGAAAGAAAAGCTTTCAAAAGAAGGGACTGGTTACAAGTAGCATGGCATAAAGAGAATACATATAGGAAGTAGGAAAATACATCAAAATCTTTACCTATTGAAAAGAAATTAAGATCAAATATTCCCTGACAAATGAAGCATTATATCACATCATTAATAGATAGGTTCTCTCTACTCATCTTTTAAAATATATATATGTTAAATTAGACTACACTCAGGTATAAATAGCCAATGGTACCTCAAGGGACAATAAAACGTTGTCTCAGCAAAAGCAGAGGACAGATGCCTTTAAAATCTAGTTCCACCCTTCTGGGGGAGGGGAGAGGGCAAGGGAGAAGGCAGGTAAAAAGAAAACTCACATATTCATTTCTTAGTCACCAATTTACTAAACTACCCAATATGATTTTTAAGCCTAAAATCCTGGTACTTAGGACAATTTCCCAAAACTAAAACCTAAGCACTTAAATTATTTTAAAAGTACCAATGATTGGGTAAAATTTATGTCTCATTTCCATAATCTGCTTTGAAAGAAACTAAAATGTGTATCCTTCAGATATTACATACCACTTCACAACTGGTACACTGATTCTACAAGTGTCTTCAACATTTTACAAATCTTACCAAAGAAGCACTACTGTAAACATGAAAAATTCAAAAGCAAAAGACAGACCAAGAAGTTCACAGATGCCATCTTTCCAAATCTATCAGACCTATCCCGCTTTCCACATTGAAACATTTCCTTTAATTACACCTCGTGAATGTATTCCATGACAGAGGGATTCAGGAACAAATGCACATCTAAAAGGCGATATTACCAGCAAACCTCAGGATCTCAACAACCCTGCAGTCATTCCAGGCAAGCTTTTCAGGACATACCCACAGCACTGACATGAATCCAGCTTTGTGTTTCAGGCTAACTTAGCAGAAAAGGGTTGTGCTATTCATGTGACCGACCACCACCCTCTCTAGTCAGTAAACTTAGTTAACTCAGTGGGAAATGACCAGCGTTATAAGGGTTGTGAAGTGTGGGAAAGACATAAGAGCCTTACATACTCATTAGGGGGAAAAAGAACAACATAGGGACAGCTGCTTCCTGCCCTGCACAAAAACACACGCGTGGGCGCACACATACACACAAGCAGTCGAAAGACTAATTTTTTTCTTTTTAATTAAACATGATCACGATTAGGAATGGAATCCTGGCCTCACTGGTATTTAGCAGTTGGTGCTAAGTCAGAGCCTTGATCGGCCTCCGCACACCATTTGCTCCGTCTTACACACAGGGACTCAATGAATGGGATCATTCTATCTAGAACCACCTATGTAAAGACCTGGTAATAAAATGGAAAGCATTGATTTGAATACTAGGAAATAGTAAAGGGCACTGGTAATCTGAGGTATCTTCCACTTCTAGGACTTGCTGCTAAGAGTCAATTCTATCCAGTCACTGTGCTGAGCCACTAGGGAAACCATTGGGGGAGTGAACCTGCCAGGAGGGAATGAGCACCAGTGCAAAGGAGCACATGTGAACACTGAAGCAAGGTCCACTGCAGGGTAACTTGTTTAACTGGAAAAGAGAGTTCCCTTCAAGTCCCCATCTGTTATTTTTAAAATCTTCTTTAGGAAAAGGGGGAAGGGTGATAAAGAGGAAACAAAGATAGAAAACACTAGGTTCCCCACCTGCCTGCAACACACAGACACGCTCAGTTAGGGGAGGTAAAAGGAGAAGATGCATTATTGGTACTTGTAGCTGTGGCACCTGTTACTGTGAAGCCTGTAGGAGGGGCTATAGAGCTGTGGCTGGGCTGCAGGTCCTTAGGAATGCCACTGTGAGAACTCAGCTGGTGGCCGAAGGCTGCGCTGAACTGAGGGAGTTGCTGCTTGGGAGAGGTGGAGGCCATTAGTTCAGCGGAAGGCCCCATGCCACTGAAGCTGGTCTGCGGCAACCCCGGAAGCACGCTGGAGCTGCTGGGGGTCACGGTGGCGAAGGCAGGCTGTGTGGTCTCTGAGTTCGAAGTGGTGGGTGGCGTGGACAGGGAAGTGGAAAGAAGATGTCCATCTGCGTCGAGAAGGTTGCTAAATGGAGAGTGATCTCCAAGGTTGACAGGGAGATTGCCCCAGTGAGTTCTGGGGTTTACAACTCCTCCAAGTGGCACCTCAAGTTGGGTTGGGAGCAAGTGCTGTGCCATGATGGGCATCTCTGCTGAAAAGGTAGCTGCCATATTATCACCCGAGAAAGATGTTGTGTGGGGAGAGGTGATATGGTCACTATAGGGAGACGGCACGTGCTCACTATCATAATGGCTTCCATGGGGCGAGGAGTGTGAATGATCACTGCTGTATTGCTGTCGTGAGGTGATTAGGTCATCTGCCTTGCTCAGCAGCTGGGCAGGATGTGGCCTCTGGGAGGCATGGCTGCCATCATGAAGTCCATGAAACTGTCCTGGGAAGGCTCTCTCCCCAAGTGCACTCTGGCTGATCAGAGTGGCAGAAGTAAGGCCAACGCTGGCTGGGGCAGAGAACTGCCCCTGGATCTGCCCTGCCAGGGGTGTAGGTGGGTTAGACAAGGTAGCAGAACGGAGCAGGTTCTCATCCAGCTCTAGACTAGAAAAATTATCATGGACCATGCGCCCGTTCAACAGCTCCCCGAGGTCCGTGTTTACTTCTCGGCTCAAGGACTGAATTCCTGAAGCTCCAGTACCTGTGGAGAACACCCCTATTCCTCTATCTGACAACTCTTGGACTGGCACACCATCTGACTGTGTAAGTACTCCAATGGTACTCAGGCACTCGAGAGAAGTTACAGCCTGCAAGGCCCGTTCAAGTTCCTCGGCCTCTTCGGTAGTTGGGAGGAGGTCTCCATTCTTTCCTGAGTAAACAAAAGCCATCAAGAATCAGCAGGGCTTTTACAGGTCCCATACTACAAAAACCATACATTTGAGTTATCCTGGACACTAGTCTATTAAAAAGAGGCCCCGTTGAGAAATTTGCAGGGATTGGACTTGAAGGAAAAAGTGAAACATTAATATGCAGGACAGGTCTGAAATGTCAAGCTGTCCTGGAGATTGTAACACATCTTCAGTTCATTTAGAAGTAAACTATCTCATCAAAGTGTTAGGAAGGAGATTTGACTTGGGGTGGTGAACACACAATACAATATACAGGTGATGTATTACAGAATTGTACGCTTGAAACCTACATAATTTTATTCATCAATGTCACCCCAATACATTCAACTCTAAAAAAAGTGTTAAATTCTTGCCCAGCTGGGTGTGGCTCAGCGGTTGAGCATCAACCTACGATCCAGGAGATCACGTTTCAATTCCTGGTCAGGGCACATGTCCAGGTTGCAGGCTCAATCCCCAGTTGAGGGCATGTAGGAGGGAGCCAATCAATGACGACTCCCTCGTCATTGATGTTTCTATTTCTCTCTCTCCCTCTCCCTTCCTCTCTCTGAAATCAATAAAGATATCTTTAAAAAAAATAAAAAATAGCCCAGCCAGGCGTGGCTCAGCGGTTGAGCGTTGACTAGGATCCAGGTGATCGGGGTTCGATTCCCGGTCAGGGCACATGCCCGGGTTGCGGGCTCAACCAATGACTCTCTCATCATTGATGTTTCTATCTCTCTCTCTCTCTCTCCCTTCCTCTCGCTGAAACCAATAAAGATATATTTTAAAAAATAAAATAAAAAATAAATTTTAAAAAAATAAAAAAGCATTAAATTCTTAAGGATTCTAAGGTCTACCAATTTAAAACTCATGGTGACTATTTGAAAATACATCTGTTTTTGCCTAAAGTTATATTAAAGCCATTAAAATAAAAAACATATCCTATCAGTTCAGACTGAGACAAAGCTGTATAGGAGGAGCCCACCAAGTTCTGCTTGTAGACTCTTCCAGTTGGAGGGGTGGCTGTGGAAGACTAGGATATAGAAATTCATATGCATATTTTAGCTCCACACTAGACACTCAGCTCACCTCTTTAGGTTACCTTTCATAATGCTTTTGCATTGCTTTCTAATAGGTATTTCCCTCTCATTCTTCATTCTCCCCCCATTTCTAACTAATTTTCATAAAAAGAAAGCTCATGGGCCTACATTGATTTCATTACCAATATTTTAAAAATCTATAGTTAGAAACTTGATTAATTCATCAGAAAAATAGTGAAGGGAACATTCTAAGAATGTAAAAGATTTCCCATGAAAACACCAGAGAATTGGTAGAATTAAGCAAACTGTTTTAGGAAAGTACACTTCAACTAAAGCACAGGGTTGGGTATTAAAACCAGGAGAAGTTCTAAATGGCTTCAATAAACACAAGTTTCAAATGTCTTTGCTCAAAAATAAACTCAAGTAAAACTCATTTTAAACGAGTGAAGTTATAAACCTAGCTCTCAAACTATCCATCCACTAATGTGATTGAACAAACTTCACAGTCCTTACCCTCTGCAAAGGGTGAAATGGCTTACACAAAATCCTATTTTCTATCTACAGTGGAAGACATTATATGTGAGGAGGTATACTTCAAACACGCCTCAAAAACTATTTCCCTTCTTAAGAATTCATTTTAAAACTCAGTTTTCTTGAATGACAATACTGACCATACCTTCAAAAAAATCAAAATCCTGTAAGTCATCAGGCAGCCGTGGCAGGACGTCTGAAAAGTCCTCCTGGTTCAATTCCAAGTCGTGCGGAATGTCAGTGATCTCATTGGCAATGTCATCCGGCAACTCATCAGCACTCAGCTCTGGCGTGGATGGGCTCCTGGGGAAGATGACATAGTTGGACCACCACCCCTTTTACCTTCACAAGAATGTCACCAAGAAAAGTTCCTCTAACAAGAAAATGGGAAATACTAACTCAAAATGTCTCCTTTCCTACTTTAAGGAAATTTGAAAGCAAAAAGACCTTACCATATGCAGTCCAATATTTCTACAACCTTTACTCATGTACTATATTAAGATAATATTTCAAGATAACATTTCAAGATACTATTTTTTTACTTCAAAATAGTAGAATTAATTACAGTTTGGTATATCAAGTGTGTCTTAATACTTTTTAGAGGATTTCAAATCTGGTCAACATAATAATGTTTAAAAATGAAACAAACAGATAAAACTAAAATGTTCAGCTGAAAAATTGTGCTGAAAGCTAAAAAGTTTAGGCTGATGTACCAAGTGATATATTTGTAGTCTACTCCCAACACTAGAAAGGTAAATCAAACTAGGTATGCTAAGCAGTGAGAACAAGTGACGGAAATGTAAACTCTGGCACCACCACTGACCGGATCTGAGAGGCCTCCACTGGCAGTGAGACGCTGGTGGGCATGCTGAGGTTCCCTTGGGGTACTGCAGGTGGAATGGGTTTTTGGGGTCGACGAGGTCCACGCCTTCGCTTCTTCTTGTGTTTTTTGGTAAGTGCAGGAGGCTTGGTTTTTTTCCTGGGTTTCCTCTGCTGCTGGTGCTGAACTTTACGGGAGCTATCTCCTCTCAAGAAATTATCCTTTAAAATGAATAAAGAGGTATTTTTAAACTGAGATTATTTGGGAAAAACCTAACAGCTACCTATAAAAAAATGCTTGTATCTTTTAATATTTTATATAATGCCTAAAACATACTATATACCTAAAACTATGTGTAACAATAAATAAATGAATAAAGAACAGCAAATAATTGGGTTTGACTGGTGCTTGGGGCATAATGGAGGAAGAAATACAAAAGTAAGCTATAGAAGTCTGGTGCCAGACCATGTGTGACTCTGAATACCCCGCTAAAGATTTTAAACTTATTTTATAAGGAATGATTTTTGATGAGAAGAGTAGCATGACTTTACAAACTCTTTAAAAGGATTAATACTCTGGAAGCAATGTGAAGGGACAGCTAAGTGCAGGGAGACAACAGTTCCAATCAGAGGGCCATCTGAACAGTCAACACAAGATGAATACCTAAGGCCAGAGCGAGAGGAAAGGGAAAAGCAAGGACCTGACAAGACAGAATTCTCATGACTTGACAGCACCTTGGATGTGGCGAGGATGGAGGGATATAAAACTCTAAAATGTCTCTAGGGTTGCTAGTCTGCATGACTGTTAGATAAGAATACCATTAGCTGGGATAGAGAACACAGCAGAACAAACAGGTTCAGGAGAAAAGTTAGGGAATTCAGTTTGGCTCGGCTCACGCACAGTTTGAGGTATGAGATGTCCAGGAGGTAAGAGAAAGCTCTATGTGGTGCACAAAAATAAAGAGATGGATATGTGGACCTGGAAATCATGACACAGCAAGTCCCTCAAGTAACTGACGTGGGCCAGGGAGACCAGGTAAAGAGAGGGGGCAATGGGGAGACTAGCTTTATAGACCTGCTGCAATTAAGTGAGTAGGCAAAGAAACGGGTGACATAACTAGCTTTTTTCAGGTAGCACCCTTAAATGTGAATACCATATTTCATCCATTTCAAGATGCCCATTTTAATACCTCTGCAATGGCGGAGTGATTTACAATAATGCCATCTTATTGCTGTTGGCCAGGTGATGGTCATTATAGTTGGCATTACCTACATACATGCTCCAAGTTGGTCACAGGTCTTTGTACTGTCATCATTTGAAGTAACGTATGTGCATTGTTGGTTTTACGTGTAGAGGAAAAACTGCTGTGTATGCAGGAAAACACAAACAGCAATAGGGTATAAAATTATTAGTGAAGCAAAAACCCAATGAGAAAGGAAAAAAACCATAAAGGAGATGAAGTTGGGTTATAGTTGATGTAAGTAGAAAATACTGTCTTTCACAGGTCAAGTAATTCAGCTGAAAGCAGAAGTTATATAGAAGATAAAATCTATGTCTATCTAAGTCTAAAGCTACTTCAGTAAGTATAAAACAAAAATTGTAAGTGATAAGAAATGCACTGTGCAGCATTTTTTCTTTCTTTGTGGTATATAAAACAAGAATGGTTTTTACAACCAATGTCACCTCTGATTTGATGAATTCAGTAATAACACAACTAAATACATAAAAAGAGCGTAGACAATAGTATATCAAGATTAATAACTGCTCTGTCCGGTGCAGCTCAGTTGGCCGAGCATCATCCCTTGCACCGAAAGGTCGCCAGTCCGATTCCCAGTCAGGGCACACGCTCATTACAGGTTCAGTCCATATAGGAGGCAAGTGACTGATTTTTCTCTCACATTGATGTTTCTCTCTCCCTCCCCCTCCTCCCTCTCTCTCTAGGATCAATAATAATTTTTAAAAAGGCTAATAATTATTAGACTAATTACTAGCATCAAATTCAAAACAAGAAAGAATAAAATTAAAACATAAAGTCAGGAAATCTAAGAGAAATTTAACCCCAGCCAAATACTTGACACCAAACACAATTGTAGGCTTAAGTCAAAATGCACAAATTTATAAAACAGAGCTGTTTCCCAGTACCTGTGGTTTTTTTTGGCGCAGCACTTGAGGTCTTCTTTTATTATATCCATTATTTAATTCAACAAATAGTGACTGAGCAACTAGCAGTATCCAAAAGAGTGGTGGGCATTCATTCTAGGATTTCCCTCTAGGACCAGTGCAGATCTTAGCCAGGAGGAAGCTAGAGAGCTCCAGCCCAAGACACACAAGTCCTACTTGTAAGATACTCAGTATTACCTGGTTCTGAGTCTAGGTTGGTGTTTTATTCTCCTAAGCTTATGTCTCATAGCCCAGCAACTTTTTTGGTACTGTGCTAGACAATCCACACAGAACTGCCCATGACCAAGGCTCTGCCTGGCTCTTGTTAGTCCCTCACTTAGCTGCTTCCAAGAGTAATGCTGACTGCTCATTACCTACCTACTACAAACACTAGTCACACCCAACTTTCTCATTCTGCTATATGCCAGGACAACGTGTGCACTAACTCACCATCTGTTGCATAGTGTCATACCTACTGAACACCATGTTCTGTCTGCCATGTTCCGACTTCCTGCAGCATGAGCCTCTGCACCAGTGGTGTCCTATCCAGTGACCAAGTCTAGTTCCGCCTGAAGCTCAACCTCTCCCAGCTATGTGCCTATTAACTTACTCAATCAACAATTACTTAATTAGCATGTTTGTTCTAAGCATTGGGGATGTAGCAATGAACAAAAAATGTTCCTGCCTTTGTGACATTTACATTCTAGGAAAGAGATACAGACAAAAAAAAGGTAGATAAAAAAAATTCAGGAAAAAAAATAAGATAGAGTCTGAGGATAAAAAGTGAGAAGATAGAGGGGGGGGCAGAAGACTTCTTTGATGAACTGACATCATCAGAAACCTAAATGAAATGAAGAAATGCCAGTATAAACCTGGGAGAAGATGATTCTAGGAAAGGAGAAAAACAAGTGCAAAGCTCCTGAGGTGGGACCATACTGAGTGTTCAAGAAACAGCAAGAAGGCAATGTTGCTGGAACTCCGAAGCGTGGAGAGGGTATAAGAAGAAGCGGGAGAGGTCATAAGGACCAGTTGCTCGTAGGGTGTGGTAAAGATTTTGGATATGATTCTCAATGTTATGAATAGCCACCAGAAGGCTCTGATCAGGGAACTAAAGCGACCATATGTATATTCTGCTCTAAATGCTACATACTGTATGATTCTATTTATAAGATATTCTGGAAAATGTAAAATTATAGGAACAGAAGTAGATCAGTGGAGACAAAGTTTGACTATAAAGGGATAAAACAAGAGAATTTTGAGGGGTGACAGTGTTCTATATTTTGGTTATGGTAGTGGTTATATAACTGGATGCATTGTGAAAACTCATAGAACTATACATCAAAAAGAGTGAATTTTAATGTCCGTAAATTAAAAGAAAGTGAAATACACACACAACCCTCTCTGGCTGCTATGGGAACAATATATCTGAGTACAGGGCGGGGGCCGTGGCAAGAAGGGAGACCAATTAAGAGACCATTCTAATAATCCAAGGCAAAGATGAAGGTGGCTAAGGTTAGGATGGTAGCAGCAAAGCTGATCAAATGCGTTTGGATTCAGACATATAGTTTGAAAGTACAGCCAAGAGATTTGCACAGTTTTTGTCACCCAGTGTAAGTCTCCCACAGTGGAGGACTGACAGGGTACAAGTGTTAGCTATATACATTCATTCACATATATAATTTATATCTTAAAACAAAAATAGCTCAAACTAGTGCAGATTCTTTGTAACTGCACTGAGAGAAAACACCACTTTCAAAACTTTGTAAATACTTTTTAAAATGCTGATTAATAATTGATTTGTTATATAAAATGTGTTATTTTATGACTAATTTTATTATACTAATTCAACCTTGTTTGCCTACCTAAATTTTCCTAAGCAGCAATATTTAATCAGCTGAATAAACTGCTTTCAATTTCTTTAAAGCATTCACACAATAATTGTTGTTATACCAATAAAAACCTCACTCTTACAAAGTCAATAAAGCAGATCCTGAAGTATAACCTCCTTATTTAACAATATTTTCCTAGTCTTATTACAAGTATGCTGAACAGTATAACTGTAAAATCAAAATATACAACCAGGATCATTACTTCCATGGTTTGAAAGCTGCAGTGCCCACGTTACCAAGGGTCTGTGAAATAAACGAAGAACCACAGAAGTGGTTCAAGAACATAGGAATCAGTCCTTAATCATGACAAAGCCTGAATGAGCTAACAAAAATGTCTAAATTTTAAATGTTTGTAAATTAAAATGGGAAAACAATTATCCAACATTTGTGTGTATAGTTTAGTATACAAATTTTCAAAATATATGGTCCATAAAGGAAGTTAAAAAACAAGAGAGGTTCTTGGTAGAGAAGAAGCCAGTGAACTAAAAACATGGAAACTGAGTTCCAAAAGGAATGTATTGTAGTCCTTGTTAAACTTTTAGCTAGTAGCAACACCAGGATCACAACCTTCGATATGAAGCCCTGGCCAGTCAGTTACCCCGATGCACCCCGAAAACTGTAACATGCTTAAAGTGGCAAGAACTGTCTTACTCAGCACTGTGGTACATATACCTTGCACAATACCTTGCAAATAGCAGAAGAGCTCATTAAGTGTCTGATGGGTGAAAACAATACAAATGTATTTATTTCAAATTATTATATAATTCAGATAGTTCACTAATTCAGACTTGTCTCTCCTCTAAATTATTCTGAATTAATTAGGGCTTATAATTCTACCATTAACAGAAGCAATGATTAACTTCAGTAGAATTACAGAAAGGTTTGGCTTTGGGCCAAAATTGTATCCACTATCCAAGACATTCACAGAACTATATATAAAACAACAAAAACCTAGAGAAATAGGACAAAAAGGAGCCTGGGAAATCTGTATAAGAAAATGTAACTTAAGAAGAGAGGTATAGAAAAGGGATACATAATAAACAAAATAACCATATTTAAGTAACCACTAAGACAGTGCTGTTGCTTATAAATGAGGGTATGAAAGTCATTTAGTGAGTCATGACCAGCATTTTTCTTTTTTTTTAATCCTCACCCGAGGATATTTTTTCCATTAATTTTTAGAGTGGAAGGCAGGGAGGAAGATGAGAGAGAGAGAGAGGGGGAGAGGGAGAGAGAGAGAAACCTTGATGTGAGAGACGCATTGATTGGTGTCCTCCTGCACGTGCTGACTGGGGCCGGGATCAAAGCTGCAATGGAGGTACGTGCCCCTTGAGCAGGAATCAAACCGTTGACCTGTTGGTCTGTGGGCCAGCACTCTGACCACTGACTGACACCAGCCAGGGCTTTTTTTTTTTTTTTTTTTTTTTTTTTTTAAAAAAAAAAAAAAAAAAAAAAAAAAGGGC